GTACCTTTGGTTTATTTAGTCGCCGTTTCTATTTGCGTGCTAACTTAATGGGTACGACGAAAGTTGACCCAGCGCATTATGACGAATTATCAAAGAGCAAATATTTATGCTCAATGAAATGATTTCAATAATGACTTACATGTAGTATGTTCATGCCTTCAGGGGGGTGTTTCACAAAGATCCTTAGTTGAACTTATCTCTAAGTTTGACTTAAAAATTATGGAAAGCCGTTAGCATCCTTGAAAATATGTTGTAAAAGTTATTTTAAAAGGCATACAATGTTGATTCAAATCATTCAAATTTCTTATTATCATGGGAGATTTCATGTTCTTGATGTGAAAATTATGAAAAGTCTAAAATACTTGAATTTTGATTTTGAATATATTTCATTATAATGCTACAAATGGCTCTCCATAATATTTAAGTCCAACTTAGAGTTCAGTTCGACTTAAAATCTTTGTGAAACACCCCCCTGGTTACAAGTCATTCAGATCTAGCTTCATAAGATATACCTCGTCAACTGAACATCGAATTGAATGTATTTATCAACATGCAATTATGAGAAAAAGAAAAATGAAGAAAAATTAGTAAACCCATGCATAATTCGGTATCTCAAACAGCTTGAAAATATTTTTTTGGAAAATCGAGTGTAAATATTTTTTGGTCAAAGGGGTTAATTTTTTTTTCTCGCCCGGGCAGCTTTCGGATGGATTATTGAGAACACAAATTCGTCCGTATGATTTAATTTTATTTATCTGTTGCTTTCATCACCATTAATCAGTTTTGTTTTGATTATGAATTGTGTTTGTATGCTTCTGATCGGAGAAATACAGTAATACAGTGTAGTAATAAATAATAATCATCATAATAAGTTAATATTGTTTCTCATTTCCTTGAATTCTATTTTCGAAAGGGTGTTTCACAAAAGGCGGAAAAGGCCAGAATTACTTATGAAATACATTTTTTAGGATAAACATGTAAATAAACTCAAGGCAAATTTCAATACCCTGTTGATTTGCTGACATAACAACACGTAAGCTATGCAATTTGCATTCTGACTATTGTAATAAAACAGGTGGATGAAATTACTCGTATCAAAACTTGGTTACAATACGAAAATGGCCTAATCATAATTATGCATACGTTTCTAAATCATACATGATCATACATACGGTGGATAATCGAGGTTTAACCGACACAGCGACTTGAATTAATTAACGGTGCCAGAAATGTGGTCCTATTCATACGATTAAAATTCTAATGAGCTTCTGTTATGCTTAAAGAGAAAGAATCTTGATACATTCTTGCCTAAGCCTAAGGTACATCCGTGATAGCAACACCCTATCGATATAAACTTTTGTGAACTTTCCTATTTACAGTCCTATTGATCTACGTATTTGGTTATAATAGAAAAGTTTGCATATCCGTTCTACAATGTTAATTACTAAGCCCAGGTAAACTTTCTCAAGCACTGCCCGACAGAGCAACAAACAGAGTATGTAACCAGCATTCCACCCTTCGAAATTCGGAATTTAAGGTAATGTATAAAGTTCATTTCTGGACATTGCCCTTGTGAAATCAATAGAGGAAGCTAGAATTTCAGGCATCAGCAGTAGTGCGTATATACGCCCAGAAGTTAACTTCCCAAGCACCTAATCCTGATCAATATGTGAACATACCAGGAATGTTCCCACGTTCTATTGTCATTTAGATAACGATGAACCTCTCTGTAATGCTCGAGGCTCGTCCGACCTAGCTGCCAGACATGCTTTTTAAGAAATACCAACAATGCTATAATTAAATGCTTGTGTCCCATGCATCAAGTACAAGCGCGGTTAAAAAGAAAAGAATTGAGTCTGAATTAATAGTTTTTTAAAGGTGCAGAACAGGTGTACTATTAATATTTTGAAGATAAAGACCGACGTTTTGTGGATTATTATGTCTTTCAGTATTTTGAATTGTATTGCATTTGACATTTTAAGTCAGGTTATCATTACTTTTGAGAGAAATTTGAATCTGTTTTGGTAACCCCTAGTTTTTAGTAGCCATATACACAACTTTAAAACGGGAGGGTACCAATCATCGTGTATAATTAACATGTTAAAGATGGTGGATCGTTATTCAATTCTATCGCTTTGAAGATTTTGAGTGCGGCCAAAAGGTCATGCCCCCTAAATATCACACCAATGAGAGGTCGGAGAGTGAAAACTAAGAAGGAGATGAGAAAAGAACAATACGGAAGAAGATATGTAGAGTAAGAGAGAGGGAGAGGAGGGGGGGGGGGGGTGAAGAAAAGGCGTGGAAGAAAGGTGGAAAGAGAGAAAAGAGGAAACGGTGCCGAAACGGTGCAAATAGAATATAAAGGAGTGATTATGGATAGCAAAAGGCGGTAAGCGGAATAGAGCGCGATTGAATGAGAGATGGAAGCAATTTTTGTTTTTAGATGAGAGAGAGAGAGAGAGAGAGAGAAGGAGAGGGGATGTGGGAGGAGGAGGAGGAGGAGAAGAAGAATCAAAAGGGAGGTATGACAGAATGAAAGGAGTGATATGAAATGAACGAAATGGAGATAGACATCTTGATATAGCGATATAGAGAGAGAGAGAGAGAGAGAGTAAAAACGCCACGTCAAGACACACAAGTGTGTCTTTGCTTGCCGTATCCATTAGTTACATGTGTTGAGACCAGTATTGACTATTGACCGTCTTTTGTTATATTCCTTTTCTTTTATTTTTTTTTATCGCGAAGGTTTACTCATGCTTTTTGGCCCGAGGGTAACAAAAAAAAGGGGGGAAAGTAGGGAGGTCAAATGTTCATGCACAGGAAATAACTAGGAAGAGAGAAAGATAAATGAAAGGAGAGAGAGAGGGGGGGGGGGGCGAGAACAGGCTCTCAGAAAAGTAGGACTGGTCACGCCAGGTTGAACTACAAGGTATGCGATATAATGAGTTAGATAGAAAGATAAAGAGAGAGAGAGAGAGAGAGAGGGGGGGGCTTGCCTTTTTTAAAGGATGGGTTATTACAACAACAACAAAAAACGCCGTAAGAGAATTACACTTTCAAATTATTTTATCAATGAATATATCGATGAATGTGTGTTTGGGTTCGAGTGTATACCACTTTAATGTGTATGGAAACTATAATCTGGTAGCGTGTATGAAGAGAACATGGGTAGTTTAAAGACTACATGAATAGGATAGCAGGAGCCAGTGGGGGACTGTTGACCACCGGGGCGAGCGGTGACTGGTCCACAACCGGACAATACAATTCCATTGGACTAAAGCGCTCATTTGAATAAGAAAAACCTGAAAACCGTCGAGTGCACGCCCTTCCGAACCCGATCAAAGAGAAACCACTTTTTCTCTCCAGCTTTGCTTGCCATACGCTGACACACACACACAACACACACACAAACAAACATACTATCCACACTCCGCCGTAACCGTGTTTCGGTCCAAGCTTGAATGGACCTCTTTTACAAAAATCATCCTGGTTCCCCAGTTGAATGGGTTTTCACAAAAGACACCCAGCACCACTGAGAGCAATTTAAGTCGATGTAAAGGTGTAAGTGCGTCATTACGGAGCATGGACTTTGGTCGAAGAAGGTCGCCGAGCCTCGTCTGTTCTCCCCGTCTCTTCCACGCACTCGCACACTTGGCTTTCTGGCAAAGTTAGTGATGGTATAATGCTGCATTCGTGGCGCCTGCTGGTCTGGTTTCGTGCACACGTTCGATGTTCCGCCATTTTCTACCACCAGTATTTCCTTGTCTCCGAACCTCACGTGGCCCGTACTGCAGCACTTACTATACTGCCTTACCTGTTGCCTGCCATTCAGCGGACACCTAGTCGCACAATTATCTACTTTTCCGATGGTTTGCAGCATTATTCTCTTTCGGGGGACAGGTAACAGGTTCGGCGCCACCTTAACACGACAGTGCTACCCTCTACCAAAAAGACTGGCTTTTTGACGGCCATGGCCAGTACCCTTGGTAATTATGTCAGAACTTATTCACTATTCTGTAATTATGCCATTGCCATTTTATGCCCAACATTGGGTTAGTATTCAAAATCGCTAACATGGAATTCCTTTTTGAGTGTGGGGGAGCGGTATTAGTTGGAAGTTTAAATACCACAAGAAGTTTCGACCAATGACGTCATTGAAAAGTACTACCTGTAATGTATTATGACTCGACGCACCTCACTATATATTTCCTTATACGTTGTATTTTCTATGTGAAAAGGCAAAACGATTAACATTGTATATCGATTTAGTCATATAAATTTGGAATCTCTTGTAAAATGTGTATAATAGTGCATAATGTAATGGGGACAAAAGCGCGCGAAATGACCTCGTGGCTGTGCCATGCTATGGTGCGCCGCGTGGCTTTTTGCTACTGCTCTATTGCACCAAGTACCCTGTTCTCATCGCCGGCCCAATACACTCTACATACGTGGCATGCAAGATTTGGCCTTTGCCTTTTCAATTTGATTCCCCTTTGGCACACAAAAAGCTATTCATCTTATTTGCGTCCACGGTAGATACACGCGGTGCACTCTACCGTGTGAGCTCTTGTTATTTCATGTAATTCTTAAAATGTGTGAATTGTGCACGCGTTGGCTCTCAATTACTACTACCGTATATTCGATACTGCCCAGTGTTATTAATATATGCGGGTATGCTCGGTATCATGCTGGTTCGGATTTATCTACCCGATTCTATGGCGACAGGCTTTCATTCATAATACCACCTGTTGACGGCTCGATAATTTATCGATGGTCTTGTAAAGCGGCATGACGGCGTCATTAAGCTATCGGCTTTAGTGGTACGACGCTTAATAGATATATAATTAGATATTTGTATGTATGCACCAGTTTTAATGTATTATAGTTGTGATTTTGATTTTGCGGAGATCCATATCCTCGGAATGTTTCGAGTCGTCAGTCGGCGTCGGATGGCGGAAGGCGCTTCGTCACGGTCGTCGCCTAGTTCATCATTTACCTGGTACAAACCAGTGGAGAAAAGGCAAGATGTTGGCATAGCTGTGATTTAAATATTAACCCAGCTGTGTCTTCATACTGCCATTTATTCACTTGGTTGTTCGCCCAGAATCTTGCCGTCGAAACGAGGACCAGAGATATTCGACGCACCTGTATGTCTTCATATATTATAGCCATTTATTCACTTGGTGGTTCGCCCAGAATCCTGCCATCGAAACGAGGACCAGAGATATTCGACCCGGACTCAAATTTGTCATTATCATACTACAATAGCGGTTTTTATTTCTTTTATTAAATTTTGTACATGGAATCGATACATCGTGCTAGTAAGAGAAGATGTAATTTCTAAGACGAAAAGAAACTTTAACATTTGGCGCAATTTCTTTTATAAATATTCATAGGCAGGTTTCCTTTACCTAAATGTATCGGGTTAAATCGAATGAACTTATAACCATGGATCTATGTAGTAGGTACATGATTAAACAAGCCACGTGTTGCCTTGGTCTCCATTGAGCATACATCTCGAGGGAAAAGAGCGGGCATGACAGCATAATCCCTTCGTAGAAAGACAAGGCATATATCGATAAATTCCTTGTTACGTAACGATCTTGTTCGTCATCCATTCTTATCTCTAGTCACGGGTTCACTCGGAATCGAACGACAGAGCTTGAATAGCTGTTTAAGCCTCGCCCACTGCTCCCATTACTAGTCTTTTATTTCTTTACTAAATAAGGGAACGAATACCCTTTAAAATCTGCCTTTAGCACCTGTTTAACATTCAAAAGCAAAGAATGCATGATTGACCAAGAAATATATTATGTAACCATGAGTTCTTTGACGGAAGAAGGATGGGAGCTGGCCTGAAATGTTGAGCGAAAAAGCATACCAAATAAAGAAAAGTTAGGACCCCAGTCCCCCTGGATTCGCGATTGTATCCGATTTACAAAAAGCATTTAGAGCTGCCGTTTTTAATCATAATAGTTGCGAATGAAATGTGGGGCGGCTCTAGTGTAACAAAATTATATGCGTTAATTAATTAATGTTGCTGGTAATTCATTTCGGCACTTATTCATTTGGATATTCAAAGCTGGAGTTGTATGAATCGGATGTATAGTGGGAATCTTTACAATCTTTTGGGAGTGCACCCCTTTTACGGAATACTGAGTCATTTGAAGGATTTTTTCTTTTCTTCAAATGTTTCCTTGAAAGATCATTTAGACCACAATAAACCGGAAGCGTGATGTGCCAAGTATGGTATTAGTTTATCTTGCTTTTTTAGTATATTAAAAGTAAAACCTGAAATGGGCTTGTATCTCCTGCTTCTATTTGCTCTACAGATAGGGTCGGGGTACGTGTAAGTTGATAAGATATCAATGTAAAAATGAACGGGTCACGAGTACAAATGGAGGAATGGGTGCGGGGTTCTGAACAAATACAAAAAATACAGTGCTTTTTGGAACCACACGATTTCGGTCTTTGTATACGCTGTAGTTTGTTTTGTGCCTTGTCTTTTCAGATTGTGTGCTCAGCCAAGTCAGGATTCTGTACCTTGACCCGGGCAATAGTATTTAGATGATCATCGTGGAATTCGTTTGGCTTGTGGTTGGGTTATTCTAATGGAATATATAGTTATTGCAGTGAATCCATCACGAAACTTATGCACAAAAACGTGCTAGAGCTCTACCCTCCCCGATCTGTTTGTATGTGTACTTTTGTGAACAAGGGTTGTTTTTTGTGTTTGAACGCGGGTTCAACTTCGTGTGAGTTTAAAGGGAAACGAGATATAATTATACCTATTCATTACTAATAAAATCCATGTTGGTGACTCAGGCGCATCGGCATACTTAGCCTGAGATTTGATTTAATTAAGACATTATTCAACGTTGGTCTATTAATAGTACATAGAAATCATCCCGCTTTGATTGTGAACAAACGGGTTATTAGTTTACCTCCCTGGTTCTTTAGAAATGATTGCTCACTTTCTCTTTATTGGTTTTAAAAACGAGTATTGGATCATTTCAGTTTTTCTGCCATTCATTTACTTATAGTTTGGCTAGGGCGGGGTCGCAGATATAAAAAAAAAAAAAAAAAAAACACCACCCAGCCAGCCCTTTCCACCAAATTCAGGCAGTTATATTGATCACACTGTATTAAATGTCTTTAATGTAATCTTGGTCTGACTGGTAAATCTGAAATTATATTTTTTTGCTTAGCTTATAAGAGTTGTACAAATCTGTAGTACGGGACTAACATTGAAATCAACAGCGCAGAAATGTACACGTGGGGACCACAATAATATTGAACCTAATAATATCACCTTCCATATGACTTGTGTACGTTCTTTTACCTTGTACTTTACAGAGTTTCTATACGTTTATTAATTTTCTATTTCTTCTGGCAGATGTTCCATCTTTTCAAAAATAATTATTACAAATTTGTTAGACTGATAGCTTTCATTTTGTCATTTTGGATTGGGCTATGGAGAATTGCTGGCACTAGAGAAACATTGAATCGCTAATGATGAAAATGCGGGACGGAAAGCTATATGGCAAGCAACACGCATCTATGAAGTCAAATATTTGGCAAAGCCGGTTTTGTTTACCTGAGAAAAAGGTGTTGATGATTATAGCAAATGGACATATTGCATCGCGGTAGGGAATTAGAGAGAGAGAGAGGGGGGAGGGGGGGGACGAGATAGGCAGGGCCGCAGGGGTGGATCAGTTATTTTGGATAAAGGCTGCAAGAAGTCGACAAAATATCGTAAAATCTAGAATAATAATCAAACAATTTTGTTGCCAATTTTCTATATCATATCGAACACCCAAGCATAGAACGATAGGATGAGGTTTCTGGTTCCATTGTTTCGAAAACATGAAAGACAAACTTTAAGGGGGGGGGGGGTTAGCACCTCGGATATGCTAATAGGGTGTAAAAGGAGGGCATGGTCGGTTAAAGGTCATCAAATGTGTGTGTGTGTGTGGGGGGGGGGGGGGTAGGGAATAAATTGATTTAGGGATAATGAGAATGTTAGTGAAAAGGACGATTATTTCGATGCAAGGATTGCGATGAGAACAGAAGCAATCGATATGATCTGGGCTCGTTGCCAGGCGCTACTCACACGAACACCATGAAATATAGCAGCTTTAAAGATAAGGTCGATTTCTGGAGGGCAAGTCATGTCTGAGTGTCCATTTTTTTCCTTCATAATAATTTTTAGCGTGGAAGAATATCACAGTAGAAATGTCCCCTGAAAAGGATGGGTCTTCAAATGCCCCCATAAAAATGTGTTAGTAATAGCCGAGATGTTTGAACCACATATTCACGCCAAGTGTTTCTGTAGTTCCACACATTCATTTCTATGAGACTTTCAGCAAGACCTAGACATTTTCTGTCGTTTTGAAGCTTCCAAAACCTCAGTATACACTAACCAATTCTTATGTGCTATAACTATATAACCCTTTTCAATAATATTGCTTTTCAGGCAATTTCTTTCAAAATGCAATAGCATGCATGATCAGAACACAACTTTATCTTTAAGGAAAGCAAATGGGAGAGAAATAGAGATGAATGATCTGTGTATTTTGTGAGTATGAGAGAGAGGGAGAGAAAGTATGAGAGAGAGAGAGAGAGAGTTGGGGTGAGTTATTGATCGATATTTCATTATTGATGTGGTATTTCCGATGGCTCAAACGGTGACAATGCGATGATCCCCGCGATGATGGTTCATTGATCACAATCATATTGCCATGAAGTCACTAGAGGATGAGCGAAAAGGGATGGTGTATAATGAATGGCAAGACTAAAGATTCGTTAGCGTTTGAAATAAATATAATAATGATATTCATTCAGCATGACCTGTGTGCGTGGGTGAATGTGTGTGCGATTGTGTGGGTGAGGGGTAAATTGTACGTGCGTGATTTACACATCAAACTGACAAAGCCGTCAGGGTATGATAAAGCTTCGGTATATACTCCGAATTTACTGGGAAATCTACATTCCTTTTCCTTTTAACACAATCATACAAAAACAGTAATGTGCCTTGTGCATCACATTCTCAAATGTGCGAATAGGACGATGAAACAAGCATTACACATTATCTGAACATGATATATCTTTAGTCTATACACAATACAATAGTTGTGTTTGAACTCTTAAACTGAACTTATGTTCAAGGCTAAAGATACAATCGGCATACAGAGAATTATCGCGAGAGAATGAAAGAGGAGGAGGGAGAGAAAATGAGAATACTTTGGGAAGAGGCAAATATTGCAATAGCTTCGATCAATGCTTTCTTCCGTGAATCCACGGATCATGCTGTGAATGAATTATGAACAGTTGAGAAACTAGGGCGAATAAAGCGATTGGAATACCACAAACGCGATGACAAGGTCTAGCCCTATCGCAACTCTTTTCACGAAAGAGACCATGAAGCATCACGTATCATAGATTATTTTTCTGTCTTTTTATTAGGGGCTATTCATTTTTATGTAATATCGTACATATACAGGCCGTGGTAAAATGGAGATTTAATATTTGTTCTACTTTTATTGGAATTTCATGGTTGTGTGCGATGTCGAGCTGTTGAAATTTGCAAGATAAAAGGATGCTTCAGCTGCAATCTAATGCCTGCATTAAAAAAAAAAAAATCTACGATCCCTTCTCTAAACTGTTCATTATTCTCACATAGAACGTAATACTCCACAAACACACACTACGTTTCTCAGCGATGGATGGATGCGGTGATGTTGAGTCGAACGTTGCCATGGTGACACCAGGGAAAGCGGTTATCGGAAAATGAGCGCTTGGTGGCGCAAAACGATTATTGATGAAAAATGTTGATATACTTTCTAACAGTGATGCAGGAGAGGGCGAAGTATTACAGCTTTTGGACTTACCTGATGTTAAATTTCTGTATTTTTTGACGTAATATTGCGACAGATAAACCATAGCGTGTTATATTTTGAGTGATATTCAAGGATCTTGAATTGATGTATGTAAAAATTGAATTTTGTTTGGTTGAATGTTTGATGGAAATATGTTGACATATATAAAAGGTTGTGTAATATTCAGGATTCCTGAAATGATGTATGAATGAAAAATTGAA